AAAATGGTATCCAGAAGTTGCCCTGGCAAGCCAATCTCCTGACATGAACCCCATCGAAAACCTCTGGGCCATACTCGACCGGCAAGTCAAGAAACAACCAAAAAACCAACTTCGAAGAGCAATCTACTCCAAGTTTTGAAGCAAGTGAGCAAAAATCCCACAATATAAATTGACGAGATGATTCTCACGATGCCCCAAAGGATCAACGGACTCCACGAAGCGAAAGGAAGATCTACTAGATATTAATTAAATTATAAATATATCAATTCATGTGAATGTGACTGAAAATTTTCATTTTTTCTGAAAAGGTGGTGTCTATTTACTTGTGACCACGCTGTGTATTTGTGCTATGCGTCATATTCATATCCCTACACTAGTTAAACTTGCAATCTGCTTAGACCTGAAATTTACTATAACGTTTTGTTTAATATATAAAGCGTTAAAACGGTAGATATTAACGAATCGTATAAACTAAAAGTATTAAAATATGCCCAAACGGAAAATAAGCATTACGTCTGCATTCATTTTAACATGACCTATAAAGCACTGTTTTCATTCTTAAGTTTGACTTTAACCATAAGTTATTAAATTCGTTAAAATTTAATTTTGCTCCAATGAAATATAGTGATACTGATATTATGCTTTGTAAAATTGTTTTTAGAGGTCAACTGAGTGTCGTCTTCTACAGTGCTCGCAGATTAATGTCCATGTCATACTATAGAAACACTGGACAATTTACTTTGTTACATTATGTTTAGCATACTTCATCAATATCCATTTACTGGTTTAATGTACAATCTACATAGACAACTGTTTTCCATTCAAGCTCTAAATATAGATCATATAAAAACATCAACTAATGTTGAATGTCCAAACAACAATGAACAGTACGATTGTGTATTCAATCTGTAATAATAATAAACAAAGCGCTTGAATAGTTGATAAAAAATGCATTATAATATGATTATTTGTATAGCATACTTTATAATTTATTCATGTGATTTTTGCATGTATTAGTTTAACTGACAATCCACGTAAAGGACTACATTTCGTATTAACATCCAAACTAGATCTATATTGTATGCATCACATTAACTAGCTGGAAAATAATAAACTGTAAACGGATGTATAACATGTATAAATGAATGTTTAAATCATACACTTTGTGTAGATTTTAACAAAATTAGCGTATACGAGCAAAATCGTGTACTATCAATAATCAATCTATAAAACCATTTTTGATCTAATATGCTATCATTTGGATTTATTGTTATGCATAAAAGTAACAGTGTAAAACCAGACTTTATGTTCTTGTGTTGCCACTATTCCTGGAATGAACCATGCTTTATAAGACCCTAGAGTATGATGCATGAGTCATCTAACGTCATTTGAAGACGGTTTCAGTATACCAATAGTTTGGTAGCAAAGAGATTTTGCTTTATGTTTGTATAAGTAAATAGAAATGATATACAGAAAATCATGGAAGTTGTGACGTCCTATCAGATGCTATGACAAAACATAAAATGGTAAATGTTGCTATTTAATTTTTTCGTTTAGTGTACATAATAGAAAAATCAGATTGTGAAGAGTTTGAATACATGATGGTATTTGTTCTACAGTAAGTCATTCATTTAGAAAAACCGTTTGTAAAAGCATAATATCAGTGTCACTGTATTTAATTGGAGTAAATATTTCATATAGAGTTTAACAATTTACGGGTAAAAGAAGACAAGAATGACTCTTTCGTTCTTATTAGGTTCTTTGCGTTATATTTTACCGAATAACCCAAAGATCCCGTTCACAATTATAAACTGTTACAACAATATTTCTGTATTTTTTTGTATATAACTACGGTAGGATTACATATTTGTTAAAGAACGTAAAAGATGGGACATCACGATAAAACGCTAAAATTATATATAATATAATTATATATTCCTTGGGGAACCCGGGTATTTAATGAAAACACTTTTACGGGCTTCCCCGAAAGCGGACCCCAAATTTGGCATTAAATTACATTTGAGCACGTAAATTAGTAGGCCTACTAATTATCATTCGTAACTTGGTTAAAGAAATTATATTTGCATTATAGCAGCAATGATTATTAAACTGAATAAGTGCAAAACAATAGTTCAGATACTAAATTTGCATTATAGTGGCCCTGTAAATGTGGGCCATAGGCCCACGGGTTCGCTAGTTATGTATCTTTAATAAATATAATAGTATCGTCTGTTGTATGCCCATGTAACTACTTCGCAGGGTGTGGATGGATCTTCACCAAAATTGGTGTGGAGGTTCATTAGGTCCATGCGGGGATGCATAGAAATTTTCAGTTATTGTGTGCGTTTTTGCGATTTTTACCACTACTTTGCCCCTGTAGATGGATTTTCATCACATTTGGTACGGAGGTTCATCGAGTCCATGGGGAGATACATACAAATTCACAGTTTTGCATTTTGTGGTTTTTATGGTCCTTTTGGGGTTTTGACCACTACTTCGCCCCTATAGATGGATCTTCACCAAATTTGGTATGGAAGTTCACTGAGTCCATGAGGAGATGCATACAAATTTTCACTTTTGCGGTTTTTATGGGAGTTTTTGCGTTTACTACCACTACTTCGCCCCTATAGATGGATCTTCACCAAATTTGGTATGGAAGTTCACTGAGTCCATGAGGAGATGCATACAAATTTTCACTTTTGCGGTTTTTATGGGAGTTTTTGCGTTTACTACCACTACTTCGCCCCCTGTTGATGAATTTTCACCAAATGGTTTGTTGGGTTCATGTAGAGATACATGCAAATTAGCAGTTTCACATTTTGTGTTTTGCTATGTTTATGGACGTTTTTATAATTACATATAAGGGAAGCAACTTTTAATGTCCTAAGATAATCTTTCATTAATCATGAATTTACATAACTTCCCTACAGGGGACGGGTACTCCAGCTAGTATAAGAAATAGGGTTAATAAAAAGAGGAGCTTGCGTTTCGAAAACTCCTAAATGTTGAAATTTATATGTATCATTTTTTCAAATCTCAAGACTATAATCAATTCAATAAGAAATTAGAGTCTTTAATCATACTTTAAGTTTTAATGGAGAACGTTTTACTAAGAACTGTATTTGTCAGGAAGGAAAGGTCACTAAACAATGAAACTGAAGAATATTTTGATTCGAAGGAAAATTTTTTTTCTGCATCTTTGTAACGTGTGGATTATGTGATTAGGACTTGTTACAACGTTACACTCAACAATGCATTAAAATTCTTATTTTCTGTAAAGCACGGAATTTTAAATTTCTTACAACTCGGTGGATCGTCAGTGGATATTATCCCCCCCCCCAAAAAAAAAAGAAAAAGAAACCTAGGTAGGGAAGGGGGTTAAACTAACTTAATATTAACGCTCTCACAATTGTTAATATTTTTCTATTGCTAGTCGACAGATGTTTCTATTTGTCGAAAGAAAACTCCAAGTGAAGGAACATACCACAATGATGCTTTTTACGTAATATCATACATGGAAGTGAACTTATTTCGCCTTTTTTTTTCTTCGAGGAATGGTATAATGAAAAAGCTTCTCTATATTTTCGCGCTCTGTCGGAAAAGGAGTAATTAATATGTTTATCTAAGCCTTATCTATGACGTTACGTTTTATTGTAAAAATACTACCTTGAATCTGCTAAAAAATGCTGTTAATATATTATTGTCGGCGTATGTGTTTGGATAGAACATTTTTATTCAGGTTCGTCATTGTAAATTCATTTTGTGTTCTCTCATTTTTATTATTACTACACAAAAACGTGCTATGAAAGCTCAATAACATCAATTTACATTGAAAAATCAGAATAAAAATGTTATATTCATGATAATCACGAGTACGGAACTTGTACATTGATTAAATCTGTATAAACGTCTGTGAGTGTGTATAATATATAAACCGACAAATTAAGAATTTCAGGGTTAATGTGAATTAAGTACCTTACAAGTGTATATCTTAACTTGTCTTTAATCTGATGGGTTAATGATTAATTTGGATTGATTTTTTTCCATATCCTAGTTCCTCCAGTGATTTGGGTGCCTACTCAAACTCTGGGTCGACGAATAGGGGAAGATGTCACCTTGACTTGCCACATTGAAGCCCATCCTACATCCATGAACACATGGATGAAAGATGTAAAAAGCATTCCTGCTAAACATTCAAAATATCGGACAGATATACAGAAACGATCCTATAAACTACTGACTAAGCTGACCATACGAGATTTACGAGAGACAGACTTTGGACTTTACAGATGTTTAGCTCAAAACAAACTCGGGCAATTTGAAGGAAAGATCAACGTCTATGGTAAGAACTATAAATAAATAAATATATATATATATATATATAAAGGCTTTTGGAAACATGGAGCTTTTCAATTACATGGTTGAAATATCATTTGGGTTTTTTATTAGATTATTTATCTATAAATCTTACAATATACAACTAAATAGTAGCCTTTTCAGCATTAGTCTGACATTAGTTCTACTGTCATAACTAATCACTGAAGAAAGAAGACTATTTCATACATCTTGAAATTATTTTATCACGAATTAAACTAGAGAATAGTATATTAGACGTTTTGGTAAATTTCTAGTTGAAGAAGGTTACAAACAATTCATGATTAAGATCAAGAGATGATATTGCATTAGAAAAAAGGCAGGTCTACAGAAGACGTGTGAGCGATAGTTAAATATTAAATGCCGTAGTGAATGGATTAAAATTAATATGCAGAAATTACAATCCATCTTCCTTTGAAAAAAAACGCCCTCTTAATGAGTAAAAACCCTCTAGTTTATATGGCATCGCGTTTTTGTTCTTTTGGTTTGTTTTTGTGCAGTAATATTTACAAACTTCATTTTAGCAGGGCTGGGCGTGGCCTCAAATTGGTTGCTGGCTATCGATCCGAAGGTTCATAGTTCACATCACATTGCCTCAAAATCGCGTTCCATACTTTCGGTTGTTAGTGCGTTGTTAAAGTGACTGTCAAATCCCACGATTCTGTTAGAGTAGCCCAGTAGTTGGCGGTGGGTGCTGTTGATTAACTCTCTTCCCTTTGGTTTATCAGTGTAAATATTCATGAACATCTAAAACAAGGAATCATTTCTAGCAAAACATTGATGTTTCATTTGTTTCCACAGCAACCTTAGCAGACAGTACTCTAATTAGTTCTACTTGTCATTTTCTCTGTGTAAAGGTTTTATTGTTTAATGTTTTAGCATCATCTTCTACATTTTCGAGATGATGACATGCTGATAGGTTTATAGAAATTTGTTTATTTATTTAACTGCTTAACTACTTTCTCTAACCTGACGGTTTTGTAACTGATAATGCATGTATTCAGTACAATGCAACACTACATATATTAGCTGAGCATGTGATCTTGTACTCGTGGTCAAACGTCTTTAAACACGTAGTCTTACCATTCATAAACATTGAAAACTATATATGAATACCTCTTGAACATATTCTTCTTAGTAAAGAAATGTAGTACTTCTTATGAACACACTGCTTAGATATACATAGTTGAATCTTGTATTAATCTTCTGTAGGAAAAATAACTCGTGCAGGTGGAATTCCAACAACAGCAAAAATATTTTTCTTGCTATATAAAGCTATTTAGCTAGCGTCATATGCTTTTGCAAGGGTTTCCTTACGGATTTCATCTTATGTTATGAATGCTGAAAGTGTTGCTGGCTTGTGACTTTTTTTGTACATGCCTTCTTTTACAGAGCTCCCACTGAGTGTTACGCAAGTTCTAAACAGTATGTTAGGAGAGGAATTTCAACTCAGCACGCAAGTACTGACCAATATTAGAGAAGAGCAACAAGCCGAAATTGGTATCGACTTTTAACTTTAATATGTGTTCTTGCAGTTTGAAAACTTGAATCTTAAATCGCGAGTTTGTTTCGAATATACTATGGATTTGGATAACAAACCACTAAAGCGATGTTAGATAATAAATAATGAAATATGAACTTTGTATAAACTTTTTTATTAACCGGTATTAAGTATTAAAAAAAAATCTGGATTTTGGCCTATATATTTGACCGCGCACTTTCCTTTAGCCAGTTTTAATAAGCGACTGGACTGTTTCAAATAATTTTTGTAGAAAAGGTGTAGATGAGTTCGAATAAGTGGATAAAAATCATAGATGTTTATGACCGATAATGTTTTCCTATCATATTCTATGGAGTTTTATATCAATATTTATTTTCAGAAGAATTAAATTTTTCTACAATCGTTTCCACTGGTCTTCCTGTTATCGAACAGACTCACAGAAAAGTAGCAGTAATTAAAACAGGTGAGAAAGTGTCATTAAATGTTTTGTTTTCTATAATAATCATTTAAAAGTTTTATGTTAACCATATTTAACAATACAGATTATCACGTGTAAAAGCTATTAAGAGTCGATAAACTTAATAATTAATAATAATTACTGTTTACATCTTATGAGCGAAAAGTATGATTGTAAATTCCTAGATGGGCTGGACGTGCCCCAGTTGTTCATGAATCCGAAGGTTCATGGTTCGCGGCCTCTTGCAATAAAAACGATCTCCGCACTTTTGAGTCGTGAATGTGCTGTAAAGGTACGGTCAACTTCCATTATTCGG